CACTCATGCACATTCATGCAAGACCTCGTAGGTGGCCTGACATCGCCGTAGGGCGTGCTGTATGTCTAACACACACACATGCCCCCTGATGGCACTAGCATGTGAGTAAGGGTGTGACAGGTGACGTCACAAAGTACAGTGAGGCAGGGCGATTGGCAGCTGGATACACACTCTGGTCTGAGTGGCGGCGGCAGTTACGGTTATATTGTACCCTGCAGGTACACTGGTAAAGTCACACACATTACTTAGGCAGCAGCACTTGGTTCACTCTAGACCATCGAGTTACAGGCGATCTCAATCTCACAGTTGTTACCTGATACCAGTCTGTTTCGCTCTTGTCATTCGCAGACTTTTGTCACTAGACGATTTCTAAACAATATAGTCACGGTCACAATTCTGGGCGAGCACTGGTATATCAAGCAGAATGCAGAGTTTAACTTGACGGTGAGGAATGGACGGTCTATTGGCCGATAGACAGAAGGATATGTCAACCACATACGAAGTTCCTCACGAGAATAACCTTGCAAAGAGTTGCATGCTTCCTCGGGGCACAAACACCAGGTCTACCAAGTGACCAATGGCGTTGCAGCGAAGGTGCCTGAACCAATGATATTGATTGTTACACGATTGGTAGAAGTGACGTCATGACCACGTCACTATTGTTATTCTTCATCATGCTGGTTGAGACTGCCCCAGGGGTCAGAACTTATCTCTCGCCTCGCTGGCATCTTCTCTCTCTCATGCCTGGCACCTTCAAGATGTGTACTTCCTGACTGATTTGCTATGGCACAATTGCTTAACTCTCCTGTATCTACTTTCTGCCTGGACATAAGGCGGCCTCCGTATGATGCAAGTATTCCTGAATATGTGGGCATCCTGGGAACACCCAACATTACAGTTTCCATCTGCGATAAAAGATAGGTTTTGTGCACTGCAATGAGCCATTTAAGTCATCTGTGGGAGACTGAGATCATACTCTCACAACTATCAACATCAGAGGCCA